CTCCCCTTGTGTAGCACAGGCCGCACCTCCCCCCGCCATGACAGAGGCTCGTGTCTCCCCTTGCCCTCTCCCATCTCCCACCTCAGACCGCGTCTTCTGGGAGGTTCAGCATGTCCAGACCGGAGCTTCTCGGCCTGCTCCCCACGTGCCTTTCCTCCTCCATCACCGCCGACAACGTTCTCCCCCAGTCACTCCCTCGCGGCTGCCTGACCCTTCCCCTCTCCTCACCAAATCCGGCCACTGCTCCCTCCAAGACTGTCCTGTTCCCCCCAACAAAACTCTTCTCTCCCAGCCCTCGGGACCTCTTCTCCAAACAGCCCGGCACAGGCTGCCCCTGTACAGTCCATGTGCTGCAGCCAAAACGCCCTTCCCTGCTCTGACCCTGCTCCCCACAGCCTGCCCAGGCCCCATCGTCTCTTTCTGCATGGATTTCAGATGCCTCATGCGGACGCCAAAGGCTGTAGCCTAGCGCCTTGGGTGCGCGTCCCCCTCGGCCCTCACTGCACACCCCTCACTGCCTTTTGGAGCCTGCTAGCCCGTCCCGCTCTGTGCCAAGCTGCCGGGCATGCACACGGGTCTGTAGGACCAACCCGCCTTGGCAAAGCCCACAAAGGGTTCTCAGGAAGGGTCCAGAGCATCAGCTCAACCCAAATTCTCAGACTATGGCCCTGTCTCCCTCCTGTCTGCTGCTCCTTCCAGGCCCAGTCTGCGCCTGCCCTGGCACCCCAAAGCCCCTGATTCAGCTCCCCCCTCCCCGTGTTCCTCCTTCTGTCCCGGCCCAGCTCCCGCCAGAGCACAGCATAGGGACGTCTGCGGTAGGGGCCGTAACCACTGCCCCTTGCCAGCGTCCAGAGGACAGGCCCTTCCCAGTGGCTGCGGCGAGAGGGGAGGATGTGACGGCGGCAGACACGATACCTTCATCAGCTCGGGATGCATGCTGCGCTCCAAGCTCTCCAGCATGTTTTCCGGCTTCCCTTGGCTGCTCGCGTCATCCTCTGTCAAGGCACAAAAAGCAGATGTTCCCAACGGCAGCCCCGGCGCCGGCTAATCCCGCCAGGCCCTCTGGCTCGGCAGCTGGGCCCTCACTCACCGGGGCGCAAGGACCACGTGCGGGGACTCTGGCAACGCGGCAGCGGGGTCCCCGGCCAACAGCACAGCCGAGTTTCAAGCGCGCGTGTATCCCCCGACTATCGTTTAGTTGCCTCACCTCAGCGCCCGCGCCGGCTTGCTACTGCACTTATTTTTAAGGCAGGAAAAATGTGTGTGCTGGGACAGGCCTCCGCGCAGGACGGGGACGGGGGAAGGAAGTCTGGCTGCCCGCATGAACTGACCTTGTCCCGATTCCACCGCCTCTTTCTTCTCCTGCACCAAACTCTCCGTATTGACCTGAATAATTTTTTTCAGCGTGACCAGCCACTCTTCCATTTCCGGTTCGCTTTCGGCTGCCAGGTAGTGGCTGTACTTATCCAGCATCTTGAGTTCAAATGCGTAGCGCCGCATCTTGGGGCACTGCACAAAGGGAGAAGAGAGCGGGACCGGTGTTCCAGCTTATTGATACGGTCTCTGCTGGACAGCTCAGCTCCGCAGACGACGAGTAGGATGTTTCCCCCTTGTAAATCCCATTAGACAAAAACAACAGGGACACAAATGCCTTACGTGCCATCGCACCTTTCATTCCCAACAGGAATCCCAAACCGCAGACATGCACTGCTCAGCCCCCCGACATGCAGCTAGCTCTGGGGTGCAGTGTAGCAAGTAATTATGCTGACAAGTGGAACCGAACCTGGGACCTCTGGAGCTTAGTGCATGAGCCTCTACAGCAGGCCTGGGCCTAACACGGCCCATGGGCCAGATCTGGCCCGCCAAGCCACTGGATCCGGACCACAGACGCAGCGGGCAGCTCAACGCAGGCTCCCTACGTGCTCTCCCTCCCCGCACACCACTGAGAAAAGCCGCTTTCCAAACTGTGAGCCCAGGAAAAGGCTTCATGAGCTGCCCCCGCCCCCAGAAAAATCCCATTGGCTAATTTCTGGCCAATGGGAGCTGCTGTTTGAAAAAGAGGCAGCACATGAAGCA